GCCTTTTCTTCATTTCCTCATCTCGCTTTCGTTCGTACTCCGTCGCTTCCTTTTCCCACCAGCAGGTATCGGGAGAATGTGCTCCCCATCCTGTTAACCGCTGCCTTGCCACACTCATTGGCAGGCCCTGTATGTGCACTTGTCGCACAAAACAGTGACTGCAAAACATATGCCGTGGCTTCTGCCGTTCTTGCTCGCTTCGCAAGTAGCCACATACTTTTTCAGCGTCTTGCAGCATACGCCTACACGAGGCGCTTCTTCTTTGCAGTAGTAGCATGATACCGCTGGCGATTCACCTCTCCACCACGCTTTCGGCGTGGCCGGGTTTTCCATTCGCCGTTTTCTCGGCGCTTCTTCTGGCTCATCCGGCTTGCACTTCCTTTCGTCATCATCTTATCATCAAGCCGCTTTCTGAGCTCTTCCACCTTTCGTGCCGCCGCACTTTCATCCTTTTCATCTTTCTTCCCCAATTCAACCAATTCAGCTATCTTTGCCTCAGCAATCGGCTTCGGCATCTTCTTTGTAGCGACACTCCTTTTCTCATCACTTCCTCGCGGCGTTCCAATCGCACTCCCAGCACTTCCACCTGGTGTTCCGGCCGCGTGGCCGTCTCTTCTTTTCTTTTAATCGCCATTTCCAACACTTCAGCCAGGCTCTTCCGCTTTTTCTCCAGAGTTTCATCCGGCATCGTATTCAACCTTTCTAAGCTCGGGAAGGCCTTGACTAACTCAGTCATACAGATTTGCGCATTTGAAACAATCTCCACGAATTGTTCCAAGCATTGTTTCGACTTTGATACCTGATCAATATGTGTCTTGGCATCTTCAAACTCATCGCGCAATCCTTCTATCTTTTTTTCTCTCTGAAAGCTTCTCCTGGAGCTCTCTCTGAAGCTCCATCTCGTAGTTATCAAAATCAGCTTGCATCGCTTTCAACTCTTTTTCCTCTCTCAGTTCGTCTTCTCCCAGCACCGTAAGCGATTCTTCATGCTCGAGTACTGTTCCTGTCAACTTCTTCTTCAAGTCACCCAACTTTATCAGACATTCACTTGGGGGATTTGCAGTAGGTCTCAGCACGTGTTTGGTGTCGATCTTGTCCACTATTGCTTCCCACATTGAATCTGCTGCATATCGAAACCCTGCTTCAGGCCTAGAACGCTGACCTCTTCTTCGTTGTCCTGGGCCATTTCTTCTTCGGTACCCTTGACCTCTGTCGCTTGGTCTTTTTCTGCTTCCTTAACTTCTGTGGTCTGGGCCTCTGCCTCTGTCGCTTGCTCTTTTCTGTTTCCTTAACCTCTGTGGTCTCCTCGGCCTTTCCTGCTTGCTCTTCTTCGGCTCCTCAGCCTATTCCTCTTTCTCTTTTTCATCAGCTTCACCTTCCTTTGATCCTGCGCTTTCAGCTATCGCGCTGGCCGCTTGAACCAATGCTGCTCTTCGCTCGCTGCTGCCTTATCCTTTTCCGAATCTTCAACTTTTCCGGCCATAACGGCTGCTGGCTCAGCCTCCTTTCTCTCATCTTCTTCTCTCTTTAAGTTCATCTCCAGTCTGCTTGAACTCAGGTGGCACTTCCGCCTTCTCTTCTTCCTTCTTTTCTCCTTCCTCCTCCACCGCTTGTCAGCCACTTGTGCTTTCATCATCTTCTTTCTGCTGTTCCTGCTGCTGCTGTCCGGATCTGTACCGGCCTCGCTTTGCGGTGGGGTTTTCTTGTCTTCACGCGTCTCGCTCAGACGCTGCACCGAAACCCACAAGTCCTCAAGCTTTCGCGTTCACTTCGCGGTCTTTTTAACATCTTCTCACAATGGCTGACCGCCAATATACTCTTGCACTCATCGCAGATCAAACATTTGACCGCTTCATCATCTTCCATTCTTTCAACAATTGTTCTTCTCTTTTTCTTTTTCTTCACTTTGTCTTCTCTTTTTCCTTTCTTAGCTCCTTCCTGGAGCTTGATCTGTAAATGGCCGCGGAAATGCACATGACAACCATGACAATCATGCAACACATAACACTCAGCTTCAGTCCTTGTGCATCTTCTTCTTCAAACTTTTCTTCCTTGGCCTCGCATAAGCTCATCAGCACTCCGGTTGCAACCACTTGCATCATCCTCGTAATCATCAAGACAAAGCGTTTCATGTGGAGCATGTACATCAACTTATAGAAAAGTACGGCACTTCCACTGCGCAGGACACGCGGAAAGGAGGAACCGTTCTGCGATCGAGCCCAGCTTCCCACCCTGTGGTTCAGCATGATGTGTCAAGTACGCTCTGATCAGTGTCTTGAGTTGGCCCTTGCGATACCCACTCCTGGGAAGCTGGGCCCATGCCACACCGATATGACTGGACCGATGTGGCCGGCCTCTGATGCACGTAAACTGCGAGGCTACCATCAGGGACAGTTGTGCGTTGGCAATTCTGCAATCATGGTCATGGCGATGCCCACAGTGTGAATCTGTGCCTGGTTTGCCAGCGGAACCAAAACCTGGATGGTCAGTTGACTGTGCTACCACGCCTATCAAGGCCTCCCTGCTGGCTAAGTCTGCAAGTCGCGGCCTGTTTCACCTGCCAGGTTCTTTGTACAGTTTTCTTTTGGCTTCTTAGTGTTCTTGTATTTCTTACCGAGTGCAGCAACTGCTGTCTGTGAGGTCCGCCCACGCCAAAAAAAAGGTGATGTTGGTTTGTATGGACTCTAGACTGCATCATCACACTGTTGTGCTCGATTGCCAGTGTCTGTTTGTGTTGGGATGGAGTGCTACAGCCGTGCCAACGAGGCCTGCTCATGGTGTCAGAACTTAAGAACGCTTATTTCTTTCCTCAAACGTGCACTAAGGCGGGGAACACCCGAGCGTAAAGGGCGGAGCCCGTAAACTTGCGCTAACCGAGTCGGACTCTTCGTTTTACTCAAAAAGGGCAAAGGGGTAACGTCGTTCGAGAGCAACCATGCTGGATGCCATTTGGCATAACGAGCTGCCCCCAAGGAGGGCCAAGGGAGTGGCTCAGCAATGGTTGAATAAAAGGGTGAGGGCGGGCGGGACAAAGTTGATTCACTTCATGCCGAAGGAAATGGACTTCCCTCCCACCCTTCCCTTGAGAAGAAATGCGGATACGACAAGGTATTCGCAAGACTCAAAGGAAACAAAGTTGGAAAACTGGTGCACTCGGTTTTCAGAGAAAAACCGTTGATTGTTCAAAGGAAATAAAGATATATCCCTACGCTCCGCTCCGGGACGAAAATCTTATTTCTTTCCTCAAACGTGCACTAAGGCGGGGAACACCCGAGCGTAAAGGGCGGAGCCCGTAAACTTGCGCTAACCGAGTCGGACTCTTCGTTTTACTCAAAAAGGGCAAAGGGGTAACGTCGTTCGAGAGCAACCATGCTGGATGCCGTTTGGCATAACGAGCTGCCCCCAAGGAGCCCCAGAGAGCAGCAGCTCAAAAGGGCCAATCGCAAAGCAGAGAGTCTCTGCGGACCCCTTGCCTTATGAGATGTTGGAAGGAGTCACGACTCGGATCGTCTGCGCAATTTGAGTGGGTTGGCACACGACCAAACCACGGCCTGCATAACGATCGATCTTCCAGTCTCAGGAAAGACTCGACGATTTTCGTACCTGTCAAAGTAGAAGATCTGGCTGACGTCAAAGCTCCGCGAGCTGCTTCGTTGTCTAAGTAAAAGACAGAGTAGCTGTCATGGATATGCCTCTCCCAAAGGGTGAGTGCTGTCCACACAGCTAGCAACTCAATCTCATATATGGGATGCGAAGAGTGATGGTGGAGTCTCTCAGTAGAGGCTTGGTTCAGCTTGACCGAGAAAAAGGCTAGGGGCACGCCTTGACTATCGTGCAGAATGCCTCCCACACAAGCAAAGTTTCCCTCCAGGCTGCCGTCAGTAAAAATCAAGAAAGTTCGCTGCAAACTCCTCGAAATTTTCAGCGGCTCAGAATGGAGAGCTACGTCCCTGAGGAACATGAGGGACTCTCGGAGTTCCGTAGGCAGAGTGCCTTTTGATGCACTTCGATTTACCCAGTCGCTCAGGACGTTCAAAGCTTGAGAAGATCTGCGTCCAAAAAGAAAGGAAGTGTACCAGTGGAGCCTGCCTCGCAAGCTTTCGGCTTCAGCGTGCGAAAGGCGGTTGGACTCAAGAATGCGGGTGATTGTCGCACGCAGCTCATCCCCACGTTCTTGAGTATGACCGATGGTCACATATCCTTCGCCGAAATGGCTCAAGTCGATGATAAGGCCGAGCGCTTTGAAAGCCTTTGCAAACACAGTGGCTTTCTTGCCAGCGCGTGCAAAGTACACGTGCAAAAGGTCGAGAAAACTGGTGGCTACTTCTTCCACTAGGTCGCAGTCGGAATCTTTGGAGAAGATCGGGAAATCGTCAAAATAGTTGGTCCATGGGATTCCCAATGCGTGGGATCCCAAGAACCAGATCGCAGCTGCACATCGGAGAAAGCTTGACACACTACCCGTCGCTCCGAAAGGCAAGGAATTCACTTTGAAAGTGCGAACGTGTCCGCTTGAAGTGTCTTTAACGCCAATCCTTAAAAGGTCACGATCGAAGGGATGTGTGGCGTACTGTTTGTACGCCGCAGTCAGATCAAGTGTCTTCCCTGAGATGCTAACGCCTTTGCTGCGAGGGTCAAGCATGGCTCGCAAGAGGAAGGCAGCGATGTATTCGACGCTCTGTAATCTGTATTTCTCAGGGATGCCTGCTAACAAGTTGTAAGCACAAGCACGGCAGTCGTCTATGACTCTGACCTTTGGACCTTGTAAAAGCCCAAACCGCTTGGCAACAAGGACCGTAGAAAGATCTGGGTTTTCGTCTTCCTCAATCCAACCTTTGTCAACTTCTTCAAGCGTTTCAGCCCAGGCACGACGAGACACCTCATCAGGAGCCTGTTTGGAGAGCTTCGTCAAGGTGGCGGTGTTTCTGGACTTGGCCATGGAGAGCTGACTTTTTAAGGTGGAGGCGGGAGGCTTAGGGTCAAAGGGAAAAAGACCCGATCTACAAACCCAGCCCGATGTGCTTCACAAGGTGGCGATCTGGAAAGTCGTGCTGGGTGAGCAATTCGTCCATCAACAGAGTTGGCTTTGCATCCAGAACCTGCGCCACATGGATGGGCCACTCCTTTTTGCACACATCCTGGGATTCGGAGAGGTCCGACCGTAGCTCGGTCCAACGCTGAACTTCATGCAAACCTTTGTCTGGCTGTTTGACATTGCTGTTCAGAAGGTTGTCTATCAGCAAGGTCATGTGCGGATCGGCTTCGACATCAAGAAGGGATTCTGGGTGACCGGCTGCCACAGCTCGACGTAAAAAGTCATCCGGTTCACGGGGAATGCCAATCCATACAACTTCAAGCACTGGAGAATGCTCAGTCGGAGGCAATAAGCCGCAGACATCAGAGAAATCCTTGGTTGGTGTGTGCGCATCGTGCTTGCAATGCTTAGTGGACCATGTCCAGGGGCTCGACAAGACATCATCGACCTTGCACAAGTCAACAGAAGGTAAAACGCAAACCCGAACCAACCCCGGATCAACAAGTTTGCGTCTTACTGCGCGGGCTCCTTTAGGGTAGCATCTCAGGAGCTGGAGCACAGGTTGCTCGGCACGAAGAGGCACTGCCCAAGCATCATATTTGCAGAATTCGCTGACCAATGGCCGGGCTTTACGAGATTGCTTGCCCATAGCAGGCCGTAGGTCACGACCCGGAGGGCCAAACAAAGATGATGTAGTTGGCGTGAAGCCTGAGTGCTGGCACAGTAACTCTACAGCACGATCCCAAAGCAAATGAGGCCACTGCGGGGCCGAAGCAGCTTGACTATAATGCTTGTGGTCCTTGGAGCAGGTTGCCTGTAAAGGGCGCAACAAAGCAGTTGAGGCCCACCAGAAAGCGCGGCGATCCTGGGCCCCTCCATGCATGCATTGGTCAAATGTAGTCCATTCACCGTCTGCAGCTTGGAAGAAGTGTTGGCAAGACGGCATGTGCCAGAAGCGCGACGTAGCAGGGTGCAGAATCGCAAAAGGAACTCCCACTGCCCTGCAATGCGAGCAAAGCTGAAAGACAGCATCCACCAGCAACTCGGCGAAACTCCATGAACCAGTCTTTGACGTGAAGAAGGTACTCAAGCACGGGACAGTGAACTGCACCAATGACGTAGCACCTGCGTGCTCGGAAATCACCTCCAGGAGCACCGCAAGCTCATCGGCCTGCGTTATGTCGAGAGGTTGAATTGGGAATTGGGCACGCTGAGGCTTAAGGTCGAAGGCTAGGGCTCTAAAGCCGGCTTTGTGCGCGGCTTTGCAAAAGGCGGCATCGCCAGCGAATACATCTATAATGACTCCAGAGACAGTATCAGAAGCAGCTGTGGTCGTATGGCTGAGTGCAGGAACCGAGGCAGTTGCATCGGTAACACCTGGGAGCGCAAAACCCAGGGACCTCAAACAGCTCTCATCTGAAACTGGAATTTTGTAGATTCCATACACACTGAAAGCCACAAGTACAAGACGGGGACCGTTGGTCCAGTCTAAAGTTTCGTGCTCTACCGTCGCATCAAACGTGACGGGCCCTGCTGAGACCAGCAAGTCCTCAGGACCACTAGGGTGATGCAGCCTCACTGCACCACCGCAGAATGGGCGAAGAGGTGCAACGCCATTCAAGGACCCAGGAAGATTCCTGAGGTCACGGTGCCTGCGAGTTTTTACATCTTTGAAAAGGCCGACACTTGTGAAATGAAAATTCGAGAATACACTGGCGGCGAGAGTGGCAAGGAGACGCGAGGCCAGAGGGTAAGCTCGCGCATTATGCCTGACACCTACAGTGCCACAGTGGTAGTATGCTCCCGTCGTGAAGGCACGTCCTGACGGGGCGGCTCCATCACTTCGAGTTGGAGTCTCGCTTGGTAGCATGTTCGAGAGTTCAAGCAGTTGCTCAGATGAGCAGTTGCCATGCTCAAGAATTTTTGAAGCAAGTGACTCACAAGGGTCACCTGGAACACTGGATGTGCTCCCCATGAACGCAGCGAAGCTGAAATTGAACGCGGAACATGCCGCGTTGACATCGGCTTCAGGAGGAGAAAGCACAGAGTCACGTTCGGAATCATCGTGAACATTTATGAAAGGTTTGGTGACACTTTCGGCCTCATCTTGGCCGACAGGCTGGAGGTGCTGCCCTGACACACGGAATTCACATGCAGGATTAGGGCTGCGAGATCGCAGCCTGGGCCCCTCAGAAGAGGGTGCAACACTGATAGGAGCTAGTCACTCCTTAGGGGAAGACGAATCACTCTTGTCGCCCTTTCCCTTGCCTTTCTTGCCTTTGCCTTTGCCTGCTTGGGCAAACCAGCAAGCAGAATGCCCATGGCCTAAGCGCCTGCACGTCATGCAACCGTGAACACCACGGCTGCAAGCAGGCGGACTGCCCTTGCACTCGGCATTGCACTTACCGAGATTGAACTGCCAACAGAACCGGTTGCCTGAAGAATCAGCATGGTACGGGCATGACTTCAACTCCTCAGGCAGATTTGCAGTTTTGATAGGGGCCTTGAGCTTAGCATCTCTCTTCTTTTGGCGTTTGCTGGGCCTCAGATCAGGAAAGGATGATCCGACCTCACCTGCGAGACTCGGCGAAGCGACTCCCTGAGAGGCTGATCCACGCTGAAGTGGCTGGAGATAGGTGGTGATCCGAGGGTCATGACGGAACCGATTCATAAGAACATCCATCTCCATCACACCACTGCTGTCAGGTTTGACACGCTTGACCTCACGGGCTAAAAGCAAGAAGATTTCGGAATCTGCTCGCAAAATTTGCTGCATCGAAATGGGTGCGTACCCCGGAGGAACATCCGATGACAAACATCTAAGCAGAGACGCGACCCACTTCTCGTGAGTCTCCCACTCCATGAAGCCGCACATGAAGAAAGCCAAGCCTCGGCGCTGGAGACACCATTGGACCTCCAAGGGAGTCCCATGCTCAGCGACGATTTTATCTGGAGCCGGGGCCAAGGTGACTGATTGCTCCTGAACAGTCAAGTACTTTTGCTTGTCGCGAAGCCCTAGCTTGAGTTCGGCATCCCTCTTAGTGCACTTCGACGGTGGGATCCAAACCACCGCATTCGACTCGCCCATGTGGGAAACTGCATCAATGAGGGCATGACTCGGCTCCATCTCATCCTCGATGACAAGGCCTTTCAAACGCCTCTTGGCATCCGCAAGTCGGGCGGATTTCTCCGCTGCCGGAAGTCTTTTTCCAGCATCTGTTGAATCCCCTTCTACGAGTGCGCGCAACTGGGCAATGACCAAAGTCGAGGATTCGAAATGAAGTCTTTTGAGCTGGCTCACGCGGCCTATGGACGCTGGGCTCCCGACAACGGAATCAGCAAAAGCCTTAAATTCTGCTTCCGTGGGTTGGGCCTTCGGAGTTCCACAACTGAAGGCCAAGGCTGAGTGAGTTTGCACCCCCGAGGCTTGCAGCAATGTGTGAAGAGAATCGTCGCCACATATCTCCTTACACCTAGCTGCAAAAGCAGCCTCGCTGTCAACGAGGGTCATGGCAACTCACAGCACTATGGGCCTGTCCGTCCTAATGAATTGAGACAAAGCTGCTGCACCCAACTCTCAGCGTGTGATCCATCAAGCAAACTCACATGTTGAGAGAGAAGGATCAAGAACAGAGAGAGAGGGAGAAGAGAGAGAGGGAAGAAGCGAGCAGAAGGGACGAGTTGCGGCACATCGAGGGGCAGCTGCCTGTCCTGATGATTTTGGCTCACGACTCGACATGAAACCCTCTACCATGACGCGCACACACTCTCTCTTTCCACTCCCTCAGCAAAACTCAGTCGCGCCCAGGGTTAGCTAGGGATCTCTTGCACTGCTTGCACACTGGGGTATCGTACCTCAGCCGGCCAGGCTCGATGAAGGGGCTGTCGCCAGTTTGCAACGGTCTTCCGCACAGCGTGAAGCTGCGGTGCCCGGTCAACAACAAATGCAGAGTTTTGAGCTTGCGATGCTGCATGAAGAAGGTACCTTCAGGAGGCGAAGGCGGGGGCATCAGCCTGGGCCCCGGATTTTCTCCCTCAGAAGAATCAGACGACTCGGATGAGGAGCCTTCCGACGACGTGTCTCCGTCAGAGGAGACACCGTCATCGGGATTGACTTCGGAGATGTCTTCCGGAACTATCTCAAAAGATCCCTGCGGCGCTCGATCAGGCATGAGGCTCAGGTCGCCAACACCCTCAGAAAAATCGGGACTCGGAGGTTCTGTTCCGTCCGATTTGACACTCATGACTTCACCTCCCGCATGGGAAATGCACGCCTCCGACTTCACGGCCTTCGGTGCATGTGACGGTGCCCCCAAGGAGACAAGATCCCACTGAGAGAAGCTTTCAAGACCCCTAGCGCTGCTGTCGCCATTGCTCCTGCCAAGATGGACTTCATCTAGCGGCTGAGGCTCAGTGGGAGCAGCATGGGCGACACCTGTGGGCAGCTCGGCACCTATCAATTCCTCATTGGTGCGCCCAGGAAAACGAGCAGCCCTGCCAGCATCTGGTGCAAACTTTCCTAGCCTGATCTCAGACAGCATGCCCGCCAGAAGTCGCAATGGGCGTGCTAAGGCATCCCGCGCATATACATCAGCCATGTGAGCCCCATGGAAATGCCCGCCTAAGGCCAGCCGGTCAGTGTGAGCTAACCCTCTCTTAGCTGCAAAAGACAACAGAGTGGCTTTCAAGCTGTGGGAGGTGGTGCGCCGGCCTTCACGCCCAGGCAAAAGCTCTCGGAGCCACGCACCTGCTTCGTCAGATCCCAAAGCCCTGACCGTCGGGGCGCCAGATTTGTCGGGGGCGGGCATGCTTGGGTACCCTTTGTTGTACTCGACGCCTAAAGCCTTTCGAACCTCCATGAACACACAGAGCCAATCTTTGCCATCGAGGCCTCGGCCTACCGCGACTAGCTCAAGACACTTCGGAAGTTTTGAGGAGAAGTTCATTGTCTTCTGCACATCGATGAAAGCTGAGCCGAACTCTGCAAAGCCCTGGTCGTTGCACTCCAGAGAGAGCGAGTCAACATGTTGGAAGTCGCTCCATCGACACCTGGCGTAGATGCAGTAGAGGGACACTCCACACATGAGACGATCCCAGAGATCATCCCCTTCGTAAAGTATTCGATGCATCTCAAGTATTTCTTCAACTGTGAAAGGGTCTGCCTTAGAGGCAAGAGTGGCTTGCTTGGCTGAGGACAGGCCCCAACACCTCTTGCTCTTGACACTGGCATGCAAAGTCGAAATGTCAAATGTAAAGTGCACGAAAGTGATCGCCTCCATGATGCCTCGCAAAGCTGACAAGGGTGCACCACCGGTTTTGCAATCTCTCAAAATCGAGTAAAGAGAAGGCTCCTGCATGGGCATTGTCAAGCCTTCGGAAGCTACAGACTTGCCCAACATCAACATGCTATTTGCACGCTTGAGACATGTACTGGGAGCTTTGCGGGCCAAATAATCTCCCAGGAGGTCATGACAGGCCTCAGGCGAGGCGGCTTCCTGAAGCTGACGGGTGACAGGGGAAGATTCACTGTCCCAGCTTGCAAAAACTCTACACCACTTGATAAGCGCTCTGCTCAAGTCGGCTTCTCGCTGATCTCTCCAGGAGATCACGGCACGATTTAACACAACTCGCTCGAAGGTGACTGTAACAGCTTTGCGAGCGCGTTTAGGCCCAGGCAGCTCATCCGCCTCTAAAGCCTCTTGCAGGAACTCCACCGGAGGGCTTAACCTATCAAACCTGGGAAAAGACAAGAGGTCGTCAGTCGTCACAACAGGCTTGAAGAAGTCGCTCCAAAATCCTTCATCCCAAGGAAACTTCGGAAGCTCATCACGAAGGCCAAGGTGCGACGAGCGCAAGAGGTTCCTATAACCTTGCGGGTTATGCTCGATGCCACTGAGTACCGCAGGAAGCACGGGCACCGATTCAGAACTCAAGCCAATACCACCTTCAAAGAAGGCATCAGCAAGCTCTGACTCTACTGCAAGCTCGGATGGCTCCCGATGTGAGCTGATGCACTCCCTGTCGCTTGAGAAATCAGGATTCGGGTTCCAGGGGACAAGATCATCTTGCAAAGTTTGCTCTGCGTCGACAGAACACACACTCGCGTCTGGGGCCTCTGACAGAAGCCTGAAGGCACTACCGGCAGTTTCTAAGTCCTCAAGAGAGCCAGGCTGATCCATGGCACCCGTCACAGGACGGGTTTTCCCTCCCCTAAGAACTACCCACCGGCACGCACTACGCCACCCCCCCAGCACAAAGTTGATTCACTTCATGCCGAAGGAAATGGACTTCCCTCCCACCCTTCCCTTGAGAAGAAATGCGGATACGACAAGGTATTCGCAAGACTCAAAGGAAACAAAGTTGGAAAACTGGTGCACTCGGTTTTCAGAGAAAAACCGTTGATTGTTCAAAGGAAATAAAGATTTATCCCTACGCTCCGCTCCGGGACGAAAATCTTATCCAAAGAAGTTGCCGTGTCAACCTGACAACAGGAGAGCTTTTCAAGCAAAGAAAGGTGGAATCGGCGGCACACCAAAAGGCATGAAACAGAGTACCACAGCTGGAATGCACCATAAGGGGCTAAGCTGAGTGGTGTAGACTAGCATAAGCAACCTTGAGTGGCAGCGAGCCCGGTGTCGCCCCGCGGATGCCTACGTGTTTCTGTCAGTCTGTCGATGGTGCTGCAAATTGAATATTATTTCTTTCCTCAAACGTGCACTAAGGCGGGGAACACCCGAGAGTAAAGGGCGGAGCCCGTAAACTTGCGCTAACCGAGTCGGACTCTTCGTTTTACTCAAAAAGGGCAAAGGGGTAACGTCGTTCGAGAGCAACCATGCTGGATGCCGTTTGGCATAACGAGCTGCCCCCAAGGAGGGCCAAGGGAGTGGCTCAGCAATGGTTGAATAAAAAAGGTGAGGGCGGGCGGGACAAAGTTGATTCACTTCATGCCGAAGGAAATGGACTTCCCTCCCACCCTTCCCTTGAGAAGAAATGCGGATACGACAAGGTATTCGCAAGACTCAAAGGAAACAAAGTTGGAAAACTGGTGCACTCGGTTTTCAGAGAAAAACCGTTGATTGTTCAAAGGAAATAAAGATTTATCCCTACGCTCCGCTCCGGGACGAAAATCTTATTTCTTTCCTCAAACGGGCACTAAGGCGGGGAACACCCGAGCGTAAAGGGCGGAGCCCGTAAACTTGCGCTAACCGAGTCGGACTCTTCGTTTTACTCAAAAAGGGCAAAGGGGTAACGTCGTTCGAGAGCAACCATGCTGGATGCCGTTTGGCATAACGAGCTGCCCCCAAGGAGCCCCAGAGAGCAGCAGCTCAAAAGGGCCAATCGCAAAGCAGAGAGTCTCTGCGGACCCCTTGCCTTATGAGATGTTGGAAGGAGTCACGACTCGGATCGTCTGCGCAATTTGAGTGGGTTGGCACACGACCAAACCACGGCCTGCATAACGATCGATCTTCCAGTCTCAGGAAAGACTCGACGATTTTCGTACCTGTCAAAGTAGAAGATCTGGCTGACGTCAAAGCTCCGCGAGCTGCTTCGTTGTCTAAGTAAAAGACAGAGTAGCTGTCATGGATATGCCTCTCCCAAAGGGTGAGTGCTGTCCACACAGCTAGCAACTCAATCTCATATATAGGATGCGAAGAGTGATGGTGGAGTCTCTCAGTAGAGGCTTGGTTCAGCTTGACCGAGAAAAAGGCTAGGGGCACGCCTTGACTATCGTGCAGAATGCCTCCCACACAAGCAAAGTTTCCCTCCAGGCTGCCGTCAGCAAAAATCAAGAAAGTTCGCTGCAAACTCCTCGAAATTTTTAGCGGCTGAGAATGGAGAGCTACGTCCCTGAGGAACATGAGGGACTCTCGGAGTTCCGTAGGTAGCGTGCCTTTTGATGCACTTCGATTTACCCAGTCGCTCAGGACGTTCAAAGCTTGAGAAGATCTGCGTCCAAAAAGGAAGGAAGTGTACCAGTGGAGCCTGCCTCGCAAGCTTTCGGCTTCAGCGTGCGAAAGGCGGTTGGACTCAAGAATGCGGGTGATTGTCGCACGCAGCTCATCCCCACGTTCTTGAGTATGACCGATGGTCACATATCCTTCGCCGAAATGGCTCAAATCGATGATAAGGCCGAGCGCTTTGAAAGCCTTTGCAAACACAGTGGCTTTCTTGCCAGCGCGTGCAAAGTACACGTGCAAAAGGTCGAGAAAACTGGTGGCTACTTCTTCCACTAGGTCGCAGTCGGAATCTTTGGAGAAGATCGGGAAATCGTCAAAATAGTTGGTCCATGGGATTCCCAATGCGTGGGATCCCAAGAACCAAATCGCAGCTGCACATCGGAGAAAGCTTGACACACTACCCGTCGCTCCGAAAGGCAAGGAATTCACTTTGAAAGTGCGAACGTGTCCGCTTGAAGTGTCTTTAACGCCAATCCGTAAAAGGTCACGATCGAAGGGATGTGTGGCGTACTGTTTGTACGCCGCAGTCAAATCAAGTGTCTTCCCTGAGATGCTAACGCCTTTGCTGCGAGGGTCAAGCATGGCTCGCAAGAGGAAGGCAGCGATGTATTCGACGCTCTGTAATCTGTATTTCTCAGGGATGCCTGCTAACAAGTTGTAAGCACAAGCACGGCAGTCGTCTATGACTCTGACCTTTGGACCTTGTAAAAGCCCAAACCGCTTGGCAACAAGGACCGTAGAAAGGTCTGGGTTTTCGTCTTCCTCAATCCAACCTTTGTCAACTTCTTCAAGCGTTTCAGCCCAGGCACGACGAGACACCTCATCAGGAGCCTGTTTGGAGAGCTTCGTCAAGGTGGCGGTGTTTCTGGACTTGGCCATGGAGAGCTGACTTTTTAAGGTGGAGGCGGGAGGCTTAGGGTCAAAGGGAAAAAGACCCGATCTACAAACCCAGCCCGTAAGCCTAAACCCCTGCGTCATGTGCTTCACAAGGTGGCGATCTGGAAAGTCGTGCTGGGTGAGCAATTCGTCCATCAACAGAGTTGGCTTTGCATCCAGAACCTGAGCCACATGGATGGGCCACTCCTTTTTGCACACATCCTGGGATTCGGAGAGGTCCGACCGTAGCTCGGTCCAACGCTGAACTTCACGCAAACCTTTGTCTGGCTGTTTGACATTGCTGTTCAGAAGGTTGTCTATCAGCAAGGTCATGTGCGGATCGGCTTCGACATCAAGAAGGGATTTTGGGTGACCGGCTGCCACAGCTCGACGTAAAAAGTCATCCGGTTCACGGGGAATGCCAATCCATACAACTTCAAGCACTGGAGAATGCTCAGTCGGAGGCAATAAGCCGCAGACATCAGAGAAATCCTTGGTTGGTGTGCGCGCATCGTGCTTGCAATGCTTAGTGGACCATGTCCAGGGGCTCGACAAGACATCATCGACCTTGCACAAGTCAACAGAAGGTAAAACGCAAACCCGAACCAACCCCGGATCAACAAGTTTGCGTCTTACTGCGCGGGCTCCTTTAGGGTAGCATCTCAGGAGCTGGAGCACAGGTTGCTCGGCACGAAGAGGCACTGCCCAAGCATCATATTTGCAGAATTCGCTGACCAATGGCCGGGCTTTACGAGATTGCTTGCCCATAGCAGGCCGTAGGTCACGACCCGGAGGACCAAACAAAGATGATGTATTTGGCGTGAAGCCTGAGTGCTGGCACAGTAACTCTACAGCACGATCCCAAAGCAAATGAGGCCACTGCGGGGCCGAAGCAGCTTGACTATAATGCTTGTGGTCCTTGGAGCAGGTTGCCTGTAAAGGGCGCAACAAAGCAGTTGAGGCCCACCAGAAAGCGCGGCGATCCTGGGCCCCTCCATGCATGCATTGGTCAAATGTAGTCCATTCACCGTCTGCAGCTTGGAAGAAGTGTTGGCAAGACGGCATGTGCCAGAAGCGCGACGTAGCAGGGTGCAGAATCGCAAAAGGAACTCCCACTGCCCTGCAATGCGAGCAAAGCTGAAAGACAGCATCCACCAGCAACTCGGCGAAACTCCATGATCCAGTCTTTGACGTGAAGAAGGTACTCAAGCACGGGACAGTGAACTGCACCAATGACGTAGCACCTGCGTGCTCGGAAATCACCTCCAGGAGCACCGCAAGCTCATCGGCCTGCGTTATGTCGAGAGGTTGAATTGGGAATTGGGCACGCTGAGGCTTAAGGTCGAAGGCTAGGGCCCTAAAGCCGGCTTTGTGAGCGGCTTTGCAAAAGGCGGCATCGCCAGCGAATACATCTATAATGACTCCAGAGACAGTATCAGAAGCAGCTGTGGTCGTATGGCTGAGTGCAGGAACCGAGGCAGGTGCATCGGTAACACCTGGGAGCGCAAAACCCAGGGACCTCAAACAGCTCTCATCTGAAACTGCACACTGAAAGCCACAAGTACAAGACGGGGACCGTTGGTCCAGTCTAAAGTTTCGTGCTCTACCGTCGCATCAAACGTGACGGGCCCTGCTGAGACCAGCAAGTCCTCAGGACCACTAGGGTGATGCAGCCTCACTGCACCACCGCAGAATGGGCGAAGAGGTGCAACGCCATTCAAGGACCCAGGAAGATTCCTGAGGTCACGGTGCCTGCGAGTTTTTACATCTTTGAAAAGGCCGACACTTGTGAAATGAAAATTCGTTAAAATTCTTTCATTGTTGTTTCTGAGCAGTTCTAACACTCACAGGCGAAGGTACAAGTACACAGCAACTGTGAACACACTGCACATGCTGGCGCAACACTCTTTTTCTCTGGTGACATTGGGAATCCACGATCCTCAGCGGTCAAACACCACCATACGGCAGTGACTAACCTAGTGCACTAGGGATGGCGGGACAGGCTAACCCCATCCGCAACGGCCTACGGTGCATCAGCACAGCTGCTGATCTCAAGAAGAGTGGCTTCAAGAGTTTGTGTCATTAACAAGGCTGGCAACGTGCAAGCTGCAAAGCCCAGGGCCCCAGCAGGAAGCTGAGCTGAAGAGCGGCACGAGAGCCAGAATCTGTTTGCGAATGTGCCCAAGTTGGGTGGGCGGGCGGGAAAATTTTCTTCTGAGCCACTGTGGCTCACACTGCACGGAGATGTATTCTGCTGCACCCAGTCTCATCAGAAACAAAACTCCCCCGAGTTTTTCAAATCAAGAATTTTAAAACGCTATCAACAAGTTGACCGCCAGCTTAAA